CTGGCTCCTTTGTCCCTTATAATCTTAATTAAGTTCTCGCGTGCATCCAGAGCGGTGTGTGGATCTCACGCAGGCGCCTGACTGCCGGCTGGAGCCTCCGACCTCATTTCCGACTTGAGCTTGACGAATTCTCTCGCCACTTCATCGCTGTGCCTCTGCGATAGAATCCTTAGTATCGTCCACCCGGTCTCATCCATTTTGACTCTCGTACCCAATGGCAACCAGCACGCACATGAACCCTGTCAAATTACATAAATTAGTTACAATCGTATTTACCAATTTTAGATGTTAATATTTAAAGGCAGGAAAACATCGTTATTCAATTTTTATTCCACATTTTCAACTACTTCTTCAGATACGTATGGGTAAAGTAAGATAAGAGTCTTTTGGTATCTTCTGCTCCTATTTGAAATTGAGTTGTTGAGAAATGTTACGTACCTGTTCAGCGATGTCCGCCAATCTCATGACAGCGAGGCCCACGAGGCGGTCCTCTCGTGCGAAGCAGTAGTCCCGCACACACACATGCAGCTCGAACAACTCCAGCTGCTCCGTCGCGCTCACCATACTGGACAAGTTAAAGAGAGTATTACTTATTATTACACCACCATGTCCCTGTACTTTTAGGAAAGTTCTTTCTTCTACGGGAGTATTTAGGAGAAAGGACTCCTCATTTCCTCAGTCATCGTTTCTGTCGTAAATCACAGTTACTAGAGTTCTACTTAATAATGGTGTATTTTCCAAGACATAAAGATTATCTCAGGGAATCAATAGGAAGGTCACAACGGTAACAATTGGTGCATGCTACAAACAACTAAAATACTATTTGATAAACAATTAGTTTAGTTAAATTATGAATAGAAATGTGTTTGAATTAACGTTCTACAATGAATACAAATACATATAAAACTTACAAATGGAAAGTCTCGTTGAATTTGGGACTCCAGTTGTTGCTTTTCGACTTGGTGGCGAATTTTCTCTTCTTATCCGCGAGGTGGGGACCGATCAGGTTGACTTCAATGAATGGACGGAACATGCCACTGGCAATCACCCACTTCAAATCGTTGGCGGCAACCACTACAAAGATATTACTCATATCAAAACCATCAATGATATATCTATAATTTTATCGATCTAAATCGATATCTTAAGTGAATGTATCAGAATAAACAAAGGAATATCCGCTCCATATTCAGAAATTACATAAATGGAAAAGAATCGCATACTTATGCAACACTTCCATATTAAGATAACCCGTCAGATTGTTTTTCATTTACGATCAAACGTAAGTGCTATAGTTAATCCTTTGTGCATATAGACATTTTTAAAGCCCACAATGTTTAGAGTATCTTGAGTAGGAAAGTTTTAACAACTTTAAACATGAAAATTAAACATTTTTGTTTTTATTTTAATTAATTTTTCAAACAAATTTAAAAGTAATTCACTGCTTAGAACTGTTAAAATGATTCCACTTAGCATTTTAACAATGTCTAAAAATAGAGAAAAAGACAAACTACACATTTTTGTCTAGTTTGTCTTTGTAGGGGAAATTTTATATAAAATTTCAAGGAATGGACCTTCAATATTCAAGAAACAATTCTGACTAATTAGATTATTAGATCTAAGAGTCAATTGTTGAAGTTACCTTTGACGGTGATCTTGTGCTCGCCGGTGCCAGGGTGCGTGAACAGGTCGACCTGCAGCGACACCTCGCC